TATATATATATATATATGGGTATTGCCATATCCGTCCTCTTTTTTTCCCCGGACGATCGATATCGTTCTTTTATATAGCATCTTTTATGTGGGGACGTTCGGAAAGATTTTCCAAAGATATACCAAGTAATTATTGGTCATAATTATCCTGGATATCTTTGGAAAATCCCTCCAGACATTCCCCTAAAAAAAGAGGATTAGGAAAAAGGGGCGTCCGTGAAAAAGAGGACGGATTGTAGCAACCATAACACATCGGTCAATAAGTCCCCGGTCTGACACATAGAGAGCGCCACTAACACAAAAAGTACATAGTGGTTCGAAAGAACAGACCCTTTTAGGCGTACTGTCAAATGTATATGTCATTCGGATCATTATTGTGTGAGTTATTGAAGCTTTAGTGACGCTAATTTGGTTATTTTCATAACAATGGAAAAAAAGGAATTTCGTGTGCTCATTAAACACTGCTTTTTGATGGGAAAAAACACCGTTGAGGCAAAACAGTGGTTGGACAAACATTATGGCACCTCTGCCCCAGGCAAATCAACAATTATCGACTGGTATGCTGATTTTAAACGCGGTCGTACGGACACCGACGATGCACACCGCTCTGGTCGCCCAAATGAGGCAGTTGTCCCCGAAAAAATCAAGCAGGTCCATAAATTGGTTTTGTCCGACCGTAAATTAAAGCTGGATGATATTGCTGACATCGTAAAGATATCCAAGGGAAGTGTTTTTACCATTTTACACGATCATTTGTCGATGCGGAAGCTGTGTTCGAAGTGGGTGCCGCGTTTGCTCACTGTGGATCAAAAACAACGATGGTTAAATTGAACGAGTTGGGCTTCCAGCTGCTCCCGCACCCACCGTATTCGCCAGATTTGGCCCCCAGCGACTATTTCCTATTCGCTGAGCTCAAAAAAATGCTCGCTGGGAAGAAATTTCGATCGGATGAGGAGGTCATCGCCGAAACTGATGCGTATTTTGAGGGTCAGCCAAAATCGTTCTACAAAACCGGCATCGAACGTTTGGAAAAGCGTTGGACTGATTGTATTGCCTTAAAAGGAAACTATATTGATGAACAAATTCGAATTTTTATGTAACACTTGTGTTTTCTTTGCTAGACCGGGGACTTATTGACCGATGTGTTACATAAACCAATTTATAGGCTATGTATTATATCTTAGAAGATATTTTGTATAATATTGTTACGTCCAAGCTACGCGCGCATGCGGAGCTGACGGGGTGAACGTAACAAGGAACCGAATTGTTAGACCGATTTGGTTGTGTCCAGGCTCCGGACCGCAAGGGAGTCGTGGGGAAGGACCGACGCAAATAGGGAAGCGCTTCGCTTCGTCCTGAGGCTCCTAAAGAGCTGAGGGTCGAACGGAGGACGAAGTGGAAACCTCTGCTCGTGCTCCGCTAAACGGACACACGAGTCGGACGTACTTTCAAAAAAAAAAGGCCCAAACTGGATCAGTGCCCCGAGAGGGCGCACTTTAACACCAGCTGCGCTAGTACGCCGTATGTCCTGACTTTCGGTCATGGAACTTAATCCAAGTGAGAGGACGAAGTGCAATCGCGGGCAAACTTAAGAATATGAGGAGAGATTATATTTGAAAAAAAAAACTACCGGAGAGTTAATTTAATGATTGTATAATATAATAAAAAATAAACACTCGAGTGATACATTTTGAGGAAAACAAAAAAAATAATGCAATTTTATCGGGTAAATTAAAAAGTAATTGTTGGGACATGCCGAACTTGACGAGGGCGTGACGATCGCAGGAGAGAGTCAGTCCTGCGACCCGCGCTCATGGGTTAACACGCGTGCCACGCCGGGCCCTAATCTTGTACTTACAGCAAATATACATCACGAATATAAGAACGTTTGTGTAGATTGATCATCGTCGTGCAAATCCCAACAACTGGCTGCGGCGTTTTTTTTCCCCGAACCTTTTCTTTATACGGACAAGAATTCAACTAACATGACGACACCAACATCACAAATCGAGGCTCTCACTGTTGCCATTAACAATTTACTTCAATTGCAACTTCAACGAGATCACGCCCAAAATGTAAATCCGAGCTCATCGACTATAATTAACGTATACAATCAATTAAATGCTCGCATCGAGAAATATGTGTTCACCTCGGACGACGATTCGAAACCATTCCCAAAATGGCTGTTACGGTACGAATATACACTCGTCAAAGAATCAGAGTCTCTTCCCGAAGAAATGCGCACTCGTTTACTTCTAGACAACCTGGGTCAGAATTCGATCGTTTAGTGGACCACGTCGCATCAGCGGATCCGACCAAGATGAAATAAACAGATCTCATCGCCATTTTGAAGAATCTCTTTCGTGACAAGACATCTCTCACCCGCCACCGCATCGAAATCTTAAACTATAGATATGACAAAACTATTCCTATCTCCGAACATATCGACCGAATAAATTGTTTGGCTTCAGATTTCGAACGTTCTAAACTCACGGATAATTTCAGAGTTTTATTACTCCTCCAATCATTCTGCTTCTCAAGTGATAACGAGGATCTAAAAAAGAGGGCTCTACGTGTAATCGAGAAGAACGAAAATGCTACTCTCAGGGATATCACTACAGAACTCGAGGCTCATAAAGGGTGTCTCAAAATGACCTGACATTTTAATTTATTAATAAAACATATTATTTATTTGAAAAGTACACATGTTTTTAGTTTAATATAAAGTACAAACATGGAGGTTATATGTGGAACACAATATCCAATAAATGGCCGCCTCGACTCTGTTTGCAAACGTTCATTCTTTTGACAAAATTTTCAATGACATTTTGGCATAATTGCGGACTAATTTCATTAATGGTACGTCTAATTTCTTCCTTCAACTCCGGAATGGTCTGTGGATCATTGGCATACACTTTTCCTTTCAGAAAACCCCAAAGAGAGAAGTCCAATGGCGTCAAATCGCACGATCTTGGTGGCCAATTCACATCGCCGCGGCGCGAAATAACACGACCATGAAACTTCGTCTGCAATAACTGCATTGTTTCGTCCGCAGTGTGGCAGGTTGCACCATCTTGTTGAAAGAATATGTCTTCCAAGTCTATGCCGTTCAATTCTTCCCATAAGAAGTTGGTTATCATGTCACGATAACGAACACCATTGACGGTAACCGCATTTCCCGCAGCATTCTCGAAGAAGTACGGCCCAATCACTCCTCCAACCCAAAATCCGCACCAAACAGTGACTCGTGGTGGATGCATGGGAAGCTGTTGGATCACTTGTGGATTTTCAGTCCCCCAAATTCGACAGTTTTGTTTATTCACGTACCCATTAAGTTGAAAATGCGCCTCATCGCTGAAGATGATTTTCTTCGAAAAATCACCATCGATTTGTTGATGCTCCAATATCCAATTGGCGAATGTACGGCGCTGCGCATGGTCTGCTGGTTGCAGTTCTTGTGTCAATTGGATCTTGTAAGCACGTAAATGCAGATCTTTCGTCAAAATTCGCTACACAGAGGATCTTGAAATGTCCAATTGCTGAGCACGATGGCGAATCGAGGTGGAAGGACTTTCGTCAACACTCGCACTCACTGTGCCTATGTTTTCATTCGACCGACCAGTACGAGAACGGCCACTG